CCCCGGGAGCCATCCCCTCCCCCCCGGAGCTGGTGGCCTGAAAGCCCGCGGGCCCGGCGGCCGCGCGTCCTCCCCCAGTTCGGGTTCCAGCCAGCGCTTCGGGTCTATGGGTCCTATGGGTGGGGAGCGGACATAGAATCTTCGCGCCCCTCTGGGCAGGATTGTCTGGGAGAGGCGGGGGAATGTGGGGCCCTTCTGTGACGTCATAGAAAACGTAAATGCGAGACCTGGAGAATCTCCGACTCTTTCGTCCCCGGGCTGGTTCCACGTCACGGTGCCGGCCGCGGGACGCCCGGACGCGGTGCCCTAGATCCCGGCGAGGTGGGGTGGGACGCGCGTGAGCCCGCCCTGGAGACGCGAAGATTGCGCCGGGGCAAGGAGAGGGGCTCTGTGTCCCAGGGCCCACGTCCTGGGAGCTGAAGTGTCAGGAGCCCTAGGGCACCCCACCGCGTGTCTCCTCAGCCTCGCCAGGGCCCAGTTGGAGCCCTGAGCCCAAGGGCAAGGCGGTCCGCAGGAAAACGTCCCTTGGTCCCCACCGCCTTGCCCCCCACTGCCCCGCCGCCCCAGCTGCATTCCAGCAGGAGGAGGTGGCACCTGGACTCCTTCCAGCTGGGGCGAAGCCCTGCGGGGTGTTCTCTCCCCGGGTCGCTCCCGACCTTTCCCCAGAGCGCGCCCCAGGAGGCTCCAGGCTGCACCGAGGGTCCCTCGCGCCTTCTGCGCGGCCCGCGGAGAGGTCCGGCCCGTAGCTCCCGCACCCCCAGCCCCGCGCAGGAACCGCAGGCCTAGCATCGCTGGGAAGGACCCCAGCTCAGCTCCTGCGGTCCAGAGCCAACGGCCTCCTTCGCTCCCGAAACCCGCCCGAGACGGTGGAGGCTGGGGAGGGAGACGGTGGAACAGGACTTCCTAGGGGTGTCTGGGGGGGGGGGAGTTAGCTCCCACAGAGCGGACAGGCCAGAAAACCCACCCAGCATGTTTGACGCTCTCATGGCTCTTTTCGTGTGACCCACAATGAAGCACAAGCGGCAAAATGTCCCAACCACGTCGCCCGGGGATCGCAGCCTGCGTGGGGTCTGGCGGCCCGCGGCCTCGCCTGCCCCTTCCCCTTGCAGTTGTGGCTCCGCACGGTCTGCGCAATCACTGTCAGGGGGACAGACCCGGGGGAGCTGCGCTGAGAAGGGGCTCTGGGTCCACCTGCGTGAGAGCAATCGTGCGTGGAGCAAGCGACGGCAGGGGCGTTGCGAGCGGGCAGGAGAGGTCTGAGCAGCGCCCTGCCCCCTCCCTCGGGGCCCCTGAAAGCGCTGCTCTGGAAATCCATTCCTCCGAGGAGGCACACTTGAAATTGAAAGGATGCTGAAAGTTTCTCCCTTGCGGGGCCTAGGGGGGATTCCTGGTACCAGAAGTGGGGTGGGCCAGAAGGGAAGACCTCACCCACTTCACAGCCTGTACCAAGTCCTTGAGGCTAAGTCCTTGGACTGAGCGCAGAGGCGCTGCGTCCCCAGGGGAGTGGGGGGCGGAGGAGTGTGGGGGAGGAGTGGGCAGCGGCGGGAGTCAACCCCCAGGGAGAGGGAACGCGGGAGAGCAAAGGGGCTGGGTGGGGCTCTCCCTCGGGCGCTCAGATGTTCCCAAAGCTCTCTGTGCGTGCGTGTGTGTGTGTGCGTGTGTGTGTGTGTGTGTGTGTGTGTGTGTGTGTGTGTGCGTGTGTGTGTGTGTGTGTGTGTGTGTGTCCTCGCACTCTTGACGCTTTGGGACAACCACGGCCCCAATCTCAGGGGATTAGTTAAGGAACTGAGGCGGCTCCTGCCATCAGCTTTATCACACGGACAGACCATAGCACTGCCTGCTCTGGCTGGGCCCAAACTCACTGACTAAAGCCCCCCGTGCACCCCGAAGTCACCGTTCTCTGGGACCTGGGTTCCGTTCTCGCCTGGCTTCCATTCCCTCTGGGCCGGGTAGAAGAGGGACTGGGGTCTTGCCTGACCAGCTGAGCTCCTACAGACGGGTCCCGACCCCGCAGCGCCCTCCGCTCATTCGCTGGGGGCCCTGGGACCAGTCAAGGGGGGTTTGAGCCCTGTGAGCGGCCGGCGAGTCACCCAGGGCTGCGGGCAGGACCCAAAGAGGTGCGCGCAGTGCCGGGCCGCCCCTCCGGGCCTGTCCAGCAGGGGGCAGCGCGGCTGCAACCGCGGAGGGCAGGGCTCATCCGCGGGGGCCAGGCTGAGGCCGCGGGGAGGCGGTGGGTCCCGAGCCCGCGGGGGCCG